ACAGAAATAGCTCTGGTGCCTTTTCTGCCTGCTCTGTACCTGGAGCAGATGTAGCACATTTGAGCTTTTCAGGGGCATGAGGTATTTGTGAAGGTGTTTACAGAATCATTTATGGTGGAAAAGGCCTCTGAGATCATTGACCCAACCTCTGACCCACCTCCATCTTGTCAACTAGACCAGATCACTAAGTGCCACACCCTTGAACTGCTCTAGGGATGATGACTCTACCACCTCCCTGGCCAGCTCCTTCCAATGCCTGACAGCCCTTTCCTTGAAGAAATTCCTACTGATGTCCAACCTGAACCTCCTCTGGTACAGCCTGAGGCTGTTTCCTCTTGTCCTGTCCCTTGTTCTGTAAGCAATAAGGTCCCTCCTGTCTCCTTTTCTCCAGGCTGAGCCCCCACAGCTTCCTCAACTGCTCCAGACCCTTCCCCAGCTTCATTCTCTTCTCTGGACACATTCCACATGCTCAATGTCTGTCTTGCCGTGAGGGCCCAGAACTGGAGGGGCCTCACCTGTGGCAGGGGCAGAGGGGACAGTCACTGCCCTGGGCCTATGGCCACACTATTGCTGACACAAGCCAATGCCATTGGCCTCTTGCACAGCAGGGCACATCTGGGCTCATGTCCAGCCACTGTCATCAGCACCCCCAGGGCCTTCTCCAGCCTTCCAGCCATTCTGCCCCAGCCTGGAGTGTTCCACAGGCTTGGTGTAACCTGAGGGCAGGACCTGGCACTTGGCCTGGTTGTTGGCCTTGGCCCATTGATCCAGCCTGTCCCAATAACCACCAGTATGGTTCCAGTCACCCCCTGTATGATCCCAGTAGGGTCCCAGCATGGGCCCCTCTGGTCCCAGTATGATTCCAGTTGGCCTGTGCATGGTTCCAGTCACTCCCAGTTGCTACCAGCATGATATCAGTTGCTCACAGCCACTCCCAGTCACCTTCAGTGTGTGCCAGTATGATCCCAGTCACCTCCAGCATGATCCCAGTTGCCCACAACATGGATTCAATTGCCCCCAACAGGGTCCCAGTCACTCCCAGGATGATTCCAGTCTTCACAATGGTCCCAGTCACTCCTAGTCGCCTCCAGTATAGACCCAGTCTCTCAGCATGATCCCAGACACTTTGTCTTTAGGGAAATGTCCCAGTCACTGGGCTGGGGGAGGTGGGTGAGAACTGCCTCTGCTGTTATAGGTGGTGTTGCCACAGGGGCTGGGTGAGGGGGTGAGCCCCTGACCCACTTCCCCCCAGTCCAACCCCATTCACACCACTGTCATCTCCCTTTTGCTAAGCTCACAGCTAGGCAGTCCTGGGGTGATGTGAATCGGGGCAAAAACATCAGTGCCTCAATATTCTCACCCCCAAGCTCCTTGATGGGATCCTGTTATGTTGCAGAAGCACAGGGCCTGGGCAGGGAGGGATGAACTCACCCTGCAGTGAAAGCTCTTCATGGACAGGTGGCTGTGTTCCATCTCATGTCCAGAAACACAGCACCAGGACATACTGTCCCCACAGGAGAGCAGGAACAATACCACTAATTCAGCTCTCATGCCACGAGCAAGAGGCTGTTGTAGGTGTGTTCCTGGCACAGCCCCTCCATGGCCCTCGCACAGGGTGACCTGAGGGCAGCTGTTGTGGCCTGGAGGGTGCGCAGTCAGCTCCACTCACTGCACCACCCCCAACAGCCTGTTTGGTTTTCCTCCAGTTTTTGACCCTTTCATGGTCATCAAGGTTGGAGGAGACCTCTAAGATCATCGAGTCAAACCATCAACCTGTCACTGCTGTCACCCCTAAATCATATCCTCCAGCGCCAGGTCCAGACACCTCTTAAACACCTCCAGAGCTGGTGACTCCACCACTTCCCTGGGCAATTCCCTATCCCATTGCCTAGACACCCTAACGGGGAAACGTTTTTCCCTAATATCTAATCTGAATCTCTTTTCTGAGATCTCCCATCTCACACCAGGAGGCCTCTGGCTTTAAAAAGACCTCTGGGAAAGATCTTGCCAAAAGCTTTTAGCCATTAAAGCACACCACAGCAGCCACAGCTACTCACCTCATGACCTCCTCACTGCACCTTGCATTGTGAGACATTCATTCCCCCTCAAAACCTCTGGACAACTCTTCTCCATCCTGTCACATTCATCCCAGCACTTGATTCCTGCCCTTCTCATCATTTCAGCTATTCTTCCAGCACAGCTTTAGCTCCTCAGAGCATTTCTGCAACCCTTTGTAGCACCTGAAGTCATGTAGTGCCTTCCACTGCCTGATGGCAAAGGTGCCAGGTGGCTTTATTGGCCATTCCTTAAACACCTCCTGGTGGCATCACACTGGAGCATTCTGTGCCATCTTTGAGACTGAAGCACATCAAAAGGGTTAGGCAGGTGCTACCCTGAGGCTGTGTGATGCCAAGGGCCTGTCACCCACACCCCTTCATCTGGGCTGCCGTTTGCCCTTGCTGTGTCACGCTCAGTCTCATCCTCCGCACTGCACGTGTGGGAGAGGCTCTCAGGGGAAGCAATGGGCAACAGCACGAGAGTCTCACTCCTCCTTTCCTTGGCTTCTTTTTGAATTTTTAGTATACAGAACACCCAAAATATGTATTTGCAAAAGAACAACCACTGTGCAATACTTACATCTCACCTACACACAGTGCTCAGGATAAAGATGCACTGTGGTTTTACA